TTGCATTTTTTAGTTGTTTGTTATGTATATATTATTATTATTCATCTTTATCTTTACTTTATTATTTTATTTATTTCATTCGTTTTTTACTTTCTCTATTATTTATTTTCATTTTTTATCTAACACATCTCTTAACTTTTAAAGGGTGTATTTTTAATCAATCATAGGTAAGTTTTGGATCGTATTTTTACCTTTTAATTTAAACTTTCATTTTCTTAATTAAATACAACTGGAAATTACGTAGTACCGAAAGGGCAGTTCAAGGGTGTTAACCCTTCCTTGATTGTAACCGACTCCCGAATCTGACACATCTTTGGAAAGATATAGATAAGGTAAGGAATAAGGTATCCGATCAACCCATTTTCTTCAAAATAAATTATCGGTGGCGGCTCCAGTCCATTTTATTCAAGTCGAAACCCAATTTTGGGCCCACCCGAAAGACGGTTCCGACTGCTTGGTGACTCTGCTGGGGACATGTAAGTGAGTCAGGCTAAGGTAATTTCCAGTTGTCTTTTTAATGGAAATGGTAAGTTTAAATTTTAAGGCAACATTTCGATCCTTAGTACTTAATTTTGATTATCTTCTCAAATAAGTAGTTGAACTAATGATTTCTCTCAATGATTTCAGCTCGACAAACTTGTTTTTCACTTAAGGCTCTAAACCCGAGCTCCGAACCCATTTTTTAAGTGGGGGTGAAAGCGACGCTCTCGTGAGAATTTATTTTCCGTATGGGCATAAGGGAATGTGTCATCTCAAATTTAACTTAGTCCACACAAGCTTGTAATGGGCTTAGGACTAAGGGTCTGGCAGGCCCAAGGAGGCACCGGCAAGGAGAACTTGGGTTCCGTTTTTTTGAACCTAAATCGGGAGACTACGGAGAAATAGAGCCTACCCCGAAACCCTATTTCAAGCCCTAGGACATTTTTACCCTAACCATGTAGTTTACTTTTTTTCTTATTTACTTCTTTAATTTCATTATTATTATTATTATTCTTTTTACTAACTTTTTGCTTTTGTATTTGTTTTTTAGCATTTTCATCATAAAAGAGGCTATTGATCCCTAAAAAGAGTTTGTTACACCCAAATAATCTGAATTAATGGACAAAGGTATTGTAATACAAGAGATAAAAAACGACGAGGTACGCATATGGTCTGAGAAGACTCAGAAAAAGAAGGAAGACAGTCTTCAGGGAAGCTTTGTGTCAGAACTGGTCAGCTATGCCTCTGTCAGCCTGAAGCAAAACGACGTCCAAGAGCTACGAAGTATTTGGGATAGTTGGAAGGGTGACCGAAAGTAGAAGTTCAGCCAGCGGTATGGTAATATCGCACTCCTACTCCATGTCAAGATAGACGAGCCCTTGATCAGAGCCTTGATTCAATTCTGGAATTCAGGGTACAACTGCTTCACTTTTAACTGGGAGGACATGGTGCTTACGATTGAAAAATATACTACACTGCTACACTACGAAAGCATCAGACTGGAGCGAGCCTATATCAAGCATATAAAACTTAAATTAGATATTGATATCCTCTACTTTATATTAATACTCCTTACTTTAATAGTTAAAAGTTTGAATTTCAAAACGAATGAGTGGGCTTATAAAAAGTCTAATTGCACTATTATTGTGGACACCAATTTTAACCTTACATAATATATATATATATATATTATATGTTTTTTTTTTAAATAATAATAAATGTTTTTCTTCTACAGGCTTAATAAACAGTTACAAAGCAGTAGGTCTAACATTGGTCCGAGCCCAGCAACCCAGTTGTACGTAACCCACTTGGAGCAGCGACCCAAACTCGGGTTCAGGACCCGCGAACCATACTCGAACTAGCCCCACGACCTGTAGAAGATTAGGGTTTCTAGAAACCCTAACCCTATCTCGTCCAACCGCATCTCCAAGCCCCCATCGAAGACCCCTTGTGTATCACTCCTCCTCACACCACACGCAGCCATCGCTGGAAATCTCAGCGCCCATCAACAACCAAGTCAACAACCAAGTTAGAGTTTTAATAGGAATCAAATACTTAGCAAATCCTAGGCTATAAATAAGATGTAATCACCTTTTTTTACACACAATACACGCAAGAGATTATCGAGAGAAACTACGATGAAATCAAGAGCAAAACATCTGTAAATTTCGAAAGTTTATTCAAAATAAAATGTACCATTTTTTGTTCTTTCTCGCGTGCTATTCAACTTGCATGTGGCTCTTTTTGGTTTGGTCTCGTTGTTTTGATTCGAAAAACACAAAATAAAACCATTTTTGGCCGATGAACGGGAAGGTTTTTTCGAGATCTATCTTGTTAGATCTAACAATCCCGAGGCCCATTCTGAGGAAGAGAACTTGGTTTTCGGATAAAGGAAGAAAGTAGCACTTTAAAAATACAATCTTTTTGGTGGATCACCGTCGATGACCGCGCAACCGGCGAGGAGGCGGCCACCGTTTTCTGGAAACGAGCGGCGACAGTTCATCTTTATGATGAACAATTGAGGGAGTTTGAAAAATAAGGGGGGTCTCGGTTTTCAAGTGAGAATAATGAGAAAGTTAAAAAAATTAACTTTTATAGTGCACCCATGGACCCCATCCGACCCGTACCGCCTACGACCCGTGTGTTGTTTTTTAGATTAAAGGGGTAAACTATTTTTTGGTCCTCCTTATTTCCTACATGTTTTATTTTGCCCCAACATTTGATTTTTACATCAATTTCTCTTATAATTCGACCATTTAGTTTTGTTTTATTCCAATTTAATCCTTATTATATATATATATGTTTAATTATATTTTTTATTTTATTTTCTTTATTTTTGGTTCTCTATTTATTTATATTATATTACTATTTATTATTATTATTATTATATTTTACTCTTTTTTTCATATATTTTTACTTTTTTATATTTTATTTATTTATTTATTTTATTTTTATTTTTAGTCTCTACTTTTATCTTTTTATCTCCCTTATATTTGTTTTATTTATTTATTTATTTGCATTTTTTAATTGTTTGTTATGTATATATTATTATTATTCATTTTATCTTTACTTTATTATTTTCTTTATTTCATTCGTTTTTTACTTTCTCTATTATTTATTTTCGTTTTTTTTATCTAACACATCTCTTGATTTTTAAAGGGTATATTTTCAATCAATCATAGGTAAGTTTTGGACTGTATTTTTACCTTTTAATTTAAACTTTCATTTTTTTTTAATTAAAGACAACTGAAAATTACGTAGTACCGAAAGGACAGTTCAAAGGTGGTAACCCTTCCTTGACTGTAACCGACTCCCGAATCCGACACATCTTTAGAAAGACGCAAATCAGGTAAGAAATAAGGTATCCGATCAACCCATTTGCTTCAAAATAAATGATCGGTGGCGACTCCAGTCCATTTTATTCAAGTCGAAAACCAATTCCGGGCCCACCCGAAAGACGGTTCCGACAATTATGTTTCAAAACATAGAGGTGGGAAATTACAAACATACCCCTAATTATCGTAATCGTAAGTGAGTAAAAATTAGAAGTGTGTAAGCGATTCCCAAGCCTTGTGAAAAGTGTGAAAATGGAATGATAACTCTGAAGTCATAAATTTCTAACGATTAATGTACCTAATTTAATATGTTCTAAATGTGAGAACGAACCACAATTTGAAATGAGAGAAATTGTGTGTGAGGCTTACAAGTCTAAATGTATATTGTATTGTTTATGCATTTATAATCAGATGCTATGTGAAATCATACAATCTCATCTCGAGGTTCCAATGAATATTATTATTGAGGCTATGTAAATTTGAGTTTACATCACAATGTCGATGTTATGTGAGACCGAGAAATCATATATACTCATGTGATAAGAACCATTATCGATATTATGTGATACCAAAATTCTCTAGTTAATATATGTCATTATGTTAAAATGTGCATATTATTAATAATAAGTAATATTGTTTTGATTTTTAATATTAATAAAATATTTTATTATTATTTTCATTAAATATTATATTTAAAATATATTAATTAATAATATATTTATTAAAATAATAACTATTATAAAATTATATTAGTATTTTAAGTATATTAAAATTATAACATCAGTTTTTTAATATAATATACTCAATTAATATAATATTTAAAATATATTTATAAATAAAAATATTCTATAATTTTAAATATTATAATAAATACACAATTATATTAAAATATTATAATAATATTATTTTAATAATATATAATAAATTATTAATATAATTAATATGATTTATTATTTTCAAAAAATAATATATTGATTATTCATATATTTTACGTCTTTAATACTAATCGAATATTTTGGTATTATTCTAATAAAATATTAATTATTAAAATTATCAATAATAAAATATTATAATTTTATACCATTAAAATATATTCAATTATATTAAAATAACTTTTTTTAATTTCATATTTAAAGTGTAGTTTAGAAAATTGATGTAAGTTTTCTCAATAAATCAATACTTATTTACATGACGGTAAAATACTTCTTATTTTTTTAAAAGAATAAATATAAAATAACCTAAAATTATTTAAAATTTTAAATATAAATTTTTTAAAATATATAATTTATTTTACAAATTTTATTATAAAATCTATTTTTAATGAAATAAACTGATCCTAAAATTAAAAAAAAAGGAAAATAATAACATAAAATTAGGCCCAATAGGAAGAGCTGAAACTTAAACACTCCGGCCCAAACAGACTAATAGACCCATTTTCAATTATTCATTACTTCAACCCATTACAATTCCCTTGTCCCAAAACGCAGGCGTTTCAGTTTAGGGCTTCTCGTATTCCTCTTTCTTGTATAAATAAGCAGGCAAGCGCGATCATTAGCCACCTTCCTCTTCTATCTGCATTCCAATATTATGGTTTCTTCTGTTCCCCCTACTTGCTTTCTAATCGAGATTGTGGTTTCTCTCTCTACATAAATGCTATTCTTTTTTTATTATTTCGTATTATTCGACGATCATTTGATGAGAAAAGAAAACTGCAACAATAATATCGGATATAACTCCATGATTACTTGTATTTAAGTCTCTGATGATCGTTCTTTTCATGTTTTCTTTTCAAAATTCTCATTTTCTCTTGAAATGTTCTTCGGATTTGGAGATATGAAGAGCTTCTAATTGGTCCGTGTTTCTGATTTAACTTTGACCGACATTCATTACACCAAACTATGATCTCAAATCTTATTGCAGGTTTACTAAGTTTCTTCAAAAGATGTTTTTTTATTTGCGATATTTTGGAAGTAATGGAACTAGCTCTAAGATTATTTAGCCTAATATGGGCAATATAAGCTATTCCGATCTTTAGAAGAAATGAGCAGACGACTCTGTGACAATGAATGAGAGCTAATTTTTTACTCTTTATTTTGTTTTTTAATACTTTTTTATTGTGTAATTGTTTTCATATGCTTCTGCTGTGATGAATTATGAATAAAATTCACATGTCAGACTTCAGAGGTTTGTTTAAAAATCTATGAGAAGAATATTCATGTTTTCTGAGCAGAGGTTTGATTTATTATTGATTAAGAAAAATCTTCTTCCCTTTTCTAGGTTGGTAATGGCCATGGGAGCTGCCTGTTAAGTTTCTCCCTTTTTTAAATCTGTTGTGACAGTGTGGTCGTTAGTGGCGGCCTTAAAACAGAAACAAATTTACTTCCAACTTCTAAAAGATCGAATAATCTTTCTACCAAACCCTCTGGTGACCACTTGGAGCTTCTTTTTTAACATTTGTGTTAATCCCAAAAATTCTACAAGATATGCCTCCTAGACAATAGTCACTCCATCACGGAAATAGATACCCTGTAGCTGAAATGATATGATCCAAATATTTCATTAGTCTTAGTAACAGTTGGTTGGTTTGAACTGTATGCAAGGCCATTTTTAAATGTTCACATGGTCCTCCATAGCCACACTATAATATCATCATAAAAGACTAAATCAAATTTTATAAGTTAGGGGTTAAATATTTAATTTATCAGAGACTAAAATGTAGCAGGGTATTGGTAAAATCAAAGGGCATTAAGTTCATCCAACAGATAAAATTTAGAAAAATTAACTGCTTTATTAAGTTCATCTAACAGATACCCATCATAGGAATGTGATACTTATTTTTGACTGTCATGTTGATATAATCCACTCAAAAAAATCTGCGTACTATCTTTTTTTATATAAATAGACGAGGGAAAGCAGAATGACTTTAGCTTGCCTGAATAATTGAAGAAGATAACATGCTAGCAATTTGATTTTCTACCTTCTCAACCTTTTGATGGTGAGTAAATTTGTAAGGTCTTGGATTCGGAAGAACCTGGTTTAAGGGTTAGCATGGTCATGGGTTTTGCTTGGAGGTAACCAGGGGTTGTTTGGTTCGGGGAATGTGGGATTCCTATGAGAATGAAATTCATATTCTCTGTTTAGTTAATCGGGAATGTCATTCCTGGTAATATTTTATTATTAATAGTGAATTTTTTGGGTATATTACCGGGAATGTCATTACCTCACTTCCCTTAGGTATTGTTGGATTATCGGTGTTTTTGACTAAAATGCTCTTAATTTTTTTTTAAAAATATTATTCTTCTGTCATTAAATAATAAAAATTTTACGAAGGTTAAATTACAAATTTATCCTTAAACTATTTTAGATTTACAAAAAAATCTATAATTTAAATTTTATATGAAGTTCAGAAGTTAAAATAAAATTTTATTTTTTCATTAAATCTTTTTATATTTTTAATTTTATAAAAAATTATATAAATTTTATGAATTTAAATTTTCTAAAGGAAATATATAAATATTTTATAACTTGTTAAAAATATATATATAATAAGGACAATTTGGTCAAATATATATTCTAATAATATTTTATTCTTTTAACCGGTAATCTTATATTCTAGTTAAATCAACCAAATACAAAATACAACATTTATAGTAATCATATTTCTTAATAATCTTTTATTCCCAATATTCTGTCAATAGAGGTTGTATTTTAGGTTCTTTAAATATGACCTATTAGATCAGGATAAGTTGTTATCATTTTATTAAAAGTAGCGCCAATCACTTGTTGCATGTAACCCTTAAGGTTCTTAAAAAATGTCACAATATTTTATCAATAGAGGATGTATTTTAGGTGAAACCTCTGCTTTGAGTCTCTGTCATACTGATCATGAAAATATGACCTACTAGATCAGGATATGTTGTTATCATTTTATTAAAAGTAGCCCCAAACACTTGTTGTAATAACTCAGAATTATTCTTACATGTGTCACAATCTATTCATCTCCTATTGCAAAACTTAGTCGTTATTAAAATCCATTAAAATATGGCTGAAAATTTTCATCCAATTCACCCTTAGAACTAAATTCAAAATTCGAAAATCATTAGTGAATGAGTTCCCTTGCATTAGCAAGTAACTTGATTACTTCTGGTTGAACTAAAGAGTCGCCTTTTTTGCAATAGTAATGGCCAATGGATAAGTAATGACTAAGTTAACTCCTTTTCCAACCTATTTTGGAGTCAAAAAACAATTTGTGGGCACAGCCGTTATCAATCAATATACTCAGTGGTCTGCCCTTAAGAAAACCTTGAATCCTTAGTGTATTATGACCAATGCAGTCAGTAATGGTAATGATATTTATAGAAATCACAAAATTTTCCTCTTAAATAATTTATTGCTTAGCGTTTCCACTAAAATCTCTGTGTTCTCACCAACCTCATTTTATTCCATCATATTCAATTGCCTTGACTTACATTGATGTTCTAAAGCAAACTTATCTCCATATTTAAAACACAACCTTTGGCAAACATTATTAGGTTTCTGGTTCAATGGATTAGATGATGGCCCGGAAAAAAGTAGTCGGGGAAGGGTAGGGTGGGTTTTAAAGTTTGTTCTTTGTCGTATGGTCTCAAATTCCACATAAAGCTCATAAAATTTGGCTTGTTGGCATGCTTTAATGAGATTTTTAGGGTTTAGCTTTATCGTGTGCTTCATTTCTTCTTTCAGTCAACTCACGAAAAGAGAAACAAAGAATTCTTTCCCAAGGGTCGAATTTTGCAGCAACATGTAAGGTTTTAACTCCTTAAATCAATCTTGATACTTGTCCATAGACTCTTTCCACATAAGTTTAGAAAACTCTTCCAATGTATAGGGAAATGATTTTTCATTGAATCTATGACAGAAATGAATTTGAATTCGTGTTAATTCAGATGAAGTTTCTCCATAATATAGCCATCAAACCAGGTTTCTGCTCTTCCCACTAAATACATCGCAACTACCTTTACTCTGTGCTCATATGGAACCCCATAGAGGTAACATGGACCCTGAGTTATAATAACCACCTTGCCCATTTATTTCATCCATAGAACCCCTAGGTTGGGTTAAAACTATTAGTTCCTCAAGTTTATAGGAAAACTTAGTCTTATCGTTTAACACAGCTACAGTCACCTATTTTTCCTATTAGATTTTGTTGAATTAAAATTTTGATATAACAATAAATTGCAAAATTAATTTTGGACTTAATCAAATTTATCCAAAAATAATTCACAGTACAAATTAACCTGAAAAATATGTTTTAAATGTTTTTCAATTAAGTCGAACCTTTTTAAAAATATACTCGATCATTTCCGAACTTTATAGTCGAGTTTTCAAGCATTTTTTGCTCAAAGGATCGATCCCATAGCAAAAATATTGATCTCTTTGACCAAAGGATCGATCCCCTTGAAAAAAGATCGATCCCTTGGATTCTAGAAACTTTTGGATTGATCTCTTGAACAAAAGGATCGATCTCTTCACCAAAAGGATAGTTTCCTCATAAAAATGATTGATCCATTTCCTTAAAGGATTGATCTCTTTCTTGAAATGGCCAAATTATTTAAAAAATGATCGATCCCTTTCACCAAAAGATCAATCCCTTGTATATTAAATATTGTTTTTTGTTGTAGGCAACGACTATAATGATCCCTGATGGCTCCAAATGACTAGAATTAATGGAGAAGGTATAAATTGAAGGTCAAAGCTTCCCAAGAATCATATTGAACCAACCTACCGACATCAATGTTTTGTTTTGTGCTTAATTTGTCAAATTTTTTGTTGTAAACACACTTGTGAGCTACATTGTTTATTTTGTTTAAATGTATATTGGGTGAGTGCTTAATTTGTGCATACATATTTTCATTGTGAGGTTTTCACTTTTGTTTGCTAAATTTCTATTTATTCTTTGGGAGAGTTTGTATTACGGTTTTGGGGTATAAAATTTGAAGTGTTTGTAAGGTTACACCTTGTCCTTAAAGGTAAGAAAATCAAGTGGATTTGAGAAATCCTTAGTGTGGATGCTAAGGTAGTGGATGTAGACTTCAGTTTAGAAATAAGAACCATTATAAATCGTTATGCAAAAGGTGTTATTTTTCGATTGCTTCCACAAAATCTTTAAATGGTCAATTCACCCCCTCTAGGCATTTTTCAGTTATTCATAAGAGCTAACAATCGGTATCATAGCAAGTCTCTATCTATAGTTTAACAACCTCGAAAAGGTCATAGGAGAGCTCTATCAAATCAACAATCAATCGAGAAAAATGGCTTCAACCTCCAACTCCTATTACATTGAAGATTCACAACCAGTCAACAAGCCAACATATTTCAATGGAGAAAATTATGCCTTTTGAAATAATCAAATGGTGTTCTTCATTCAAGCCAATGATCTAGGAGCTTGGAACTCAATATTGAAAGATCACTCTACTCCAACCAATGAGATGGAAGATTAGAGTGAAAAAGAAAAGAAGAAATTCCAACAAAATACCAAGGTCATGCACATTCTATTTTGTGCATTAGGCCTAGATGAATATGGAAGAGTCTTATCTTATTCTAATTCCAATGAGATTTTAGATAAACTCTAAGTCACTCATAAAGGAATTGATTAAGTGATGGAAACAAAAATCGGTATTCTCAACCATAGTTATGAGAATTTCAAGATGAAACCGGGTAAAAACATCAAAATTATGACGGATAGATTTTTCGTGATTGTCAATGGTCTCAAGGAATATGGAGAAATCACCCCTAATTAAAAGTTTGTAAGGAAGATGATTTACTCTCTTCCAAAGTCTTGGTAATCGAAGAATATGATGATCATCGAAATAAAGAACCTAAAGCCTCTCGATATTGTTAAGCTTATTAGTTACTTGCCCACTCATGAGTTGATGGTAAAAGAGGAGAAGAAATAAGAGAATAAATAAAACAAAAAGCAAGTTAATGTTATTTTAAGATCCTCTACACACAAAGAATCAAATTCCAATGAATAAGACAATGAAAAAGATAAAGATATGGCCAAGCTCTTCAAGAGATTCAAACTATTCATGTCATC